TGGCCCCAACATCGGTCACGCGGAAGAGCTCTCGCGTGACCGATGTTGGGCCCCCTCTTTGGGCTCCTCTTGGTGCTCCGAGAGGAGCCCAAGATGGCCCCACGAGGGCCCCGTCGAGACCCCAAGAGGGCCCAAGGAGGCCCAATAGGGCCCCAAGAGGGCCCCAACATCGGTCACGCGAAAGAGCTCTCGCGTGACCGATGTTGGGCCCCTCTGTGGGCTCCTCTTGGAGCTCCGAGAGGAGCCCAAGGTGGCCCCACGAGGGCCCCGACGAGCCCCAAGAGAGCCCAAGAGGGCCCCAAGAGCGCCCCAACATCTCCTCTCCTTCCTCCTCCTCCCTCCTCTGCATCTTCCTCCTCCTCCTCCTTCTCTCCTCCTCCTCCTCCTCCTCCTCCTCCTTCTCCTCTCCAGGGGAATGAAAACCAGAGGATAGCTCACGGAGAGCCCAAGCACCCTCTTGTTGCATCCATCTTGGCTTCCAGATGGAGCCCAAGAAGGCCCCAAGGAGGCCCCTCAAGAGGCCCCAGGAGACCCCAGACGTCCAAGGACGCCCCCAAGACGCTTCGCGTCACCAATTTCTTCTCGCAACGATTCCTGGGTCTGTGACTCGACAGAACCTAAGCGCGCGCGAAGCGCGCGCGTGGTTCTAGTATATATATATATATATATATATATATAGATATTAAACGAATACGCCGGGCCCCCGCCCGGGGCGTCCTCCACCTCGCTCACATCTCGTGAACGCTCCCGGTACCGCGCTTCCCGGTCTCCTGGGGAGCCCCCGTAATGCCCAAAGACAGCCCAAGACGATCCCAAGAAACCCCCAGAACGTCAAATAAAGGCCCAAGACGATCCCAAGCAACCCAGGATAGCTTTCGGGCGGCTCTCTAGGCTCCCAGGAGGCCTCCAAACGACTCCAAGAGAGCTCCGAGAGACCCCCCCGAGAACGCGCGGAGAACCTAAAATCGTTAGCCTTCATTTTTTTTTTCGGGGGGGGGGGGGTTGGCCTTCTCACCATTTCATGCTTCCAACGCTCCAAGACGGCCGAAGAGGCCCCCCAGACCGCCCCGAGAGACCTCCCAAGACGGCCCCAAGTCGGGCCAAGACGGCCCCAAGGTTGCCGAAAAGGCGCCCAGGGCAGCTCCAGGCCACCCCGGAACAGGCCCAAAGATGAGCCCAGGCCTCCCGAGACCTCCAGGGGCTTCCAACACACCCCAGACGCCTGAAAGGCTCTCCAAAAATCCCCGAGGAGGCCCCCAACACAGCCCAAGAGAGCTTCGAGAGCCGTCCCGAGAGAGCCCGAAGATGGTCAAATCGTTGCTTTCCAATGGTTTTCGTCGACGCTTTTCGCCTTCTCACGTTTTCCTGCTTCCAACCCTCCAAGACAGAGGAGTTTGAAAAAAAAAGCATTCCAGAGATTCCCTTTTTTTCAAGTTGGAACTCCTACTCTCTATCCTCCTCCTCGAGCCCCATCAAGACTTTCGGAGTCACATGTAAAGATGTTTCGGGACAATTGTTGAACTCTCTGACGCTGTGTTGGCACTCTCTTGGCTCGTCTTCGCGTCTTTTTGGCTGCCTAGAACCACCGTGGAAATCGAGATCCCATGATCCCATGAGTTGAAAACATAGGTTCCTTTTATTTCGAACTCACCACCTGCTTATTTTTGCACGAAGACCCGAGAGGCAACCTAACGGACCGTGGCCTTGCATCCAGAAAATTTCTAACCCATAGCCCAGGCACGGCAACGTCGAAAACATGGAAACCCCACAATTTCATGTTTTCACTTTCGTCCCCTGTCTACTCTTGCGCAACAGACCACGATTAAGGTCCCCCATCATTTCCCTGAAAAGACCACGAAGCCTGTGACGGCCCCAATTCGTTGAATACCTAACGGGAATTCATGATTTCCGCGTTTCCGTAGTTCCCCTCATACACGGTTCCGAGGCTTGCGCAGGGCTTCTAAGAGAGTCCCTGTATGCAAGAAGCGACAAACATGATATTCCATGATTTTGCCCATCAAGCCTAGCTAAAACTTGAGCGCGCGCGCGAAGCGCGCGCGATGGTTCTAGTGTATATATATATGACAAAACTACATTGGCGTTCCGCGCCATCCACCGTGGTCCGTGAAGTTTGGCGTGCAAGCGGAAGTCGCGGCGGCCGGGCAGGAATGTAAAGCAGAGACAATGGAAATACCGAAAGTGTGCCAGTGGATCTCCCTGAATACACTAAACGGGGGGGGGTTCCAGAACCCCCCCCCCTCCTCCCCTTCAATGGGGGGGGGGTCCGGAGTTTCCCCCCCCTTCCCCCCTTTAAGGGGGGGTTGGGGTCCCGAACCCCCTTCCCCCCCCTCCTTTGAAGGAGGGGGGGGGTCTGGACCCCCCCCCTCCCCCCCCTGGCGCTGGAAGGGGGGGGGGGGTCGGACCCCCCCCCTCGTGTAGGGAGTACGGAGTTGGGAGTAGGGAGTGGTGAGTAGTGAGTAGTGAGTTAGTGCGTAGTGAGTAGTGAGTATTTGGTAGTGAGTACTGGGTAGTGAGTGGCGAGTAGGGAGTAGAGAGTAGGGAGTGGGGAGTAGTGAGTAGTGAATAGTGAGTAGTGTGTACTGATAAGTGAGTAGTCAGTGGCGAGTAGGGAGTAGTGAGTAGTGAGTAGTGAGTAGCGAGTAGCGAGTAGTGAGTACTGAGTAGGGGGTAGCAGTAATGAGTAGGGGGTCGTGAGTAGTGGGTAGTGAGTAGTGGGTGGCGAGTAGTGATTCGTGAGTAGTGAGTAGTGGGTAGTGCGTAGTGCGTAGTGAGTAGTGACTAGTGAGTACTGAATAGTGGTGAGTAGTGAGTAGTGAGTAATGAGTAGCGAGTAGTGAGTAGTGAGTAGTGAGTAGTGAGTAGTGAGTACTGAGTAGTACGTAGTGCGTAGTGAGTAGTGAGTAGTGAGTAGTGATGAATGGAGAGTAGTGGGTCGTGGCAGTGGGTAGTTAGTAGTTAGTAGCGAGAAGGGAGTTGCGAGTAGTGAGTAGTGAGGAGCGAGTCGGGCGTAGTGAGTAGTGAGTAGTGAGTAGTCAGTAGTGAGTACTGGGTAGTGATTAGTGAGTAACGAGTAGGGAGTAGCGAGCAGTGGGTAGTGAGTAGGGAGTAGGGAGTAGGGAGTAGTGAGCAGTGAGTAGTGATAAGTTGGTAGCGAATACTGGGTAGTGAGTAGCGATTGGTGAGTAGTGGGTAGTGAGTAGTGACCAGTGATTAGTGACTACTGAATTGTGACTGGTGACCAGAGACCATGCAGTGACCAGTGAGTAGGGAGCAGTAAGCAGTGAGTAGTGAATAGTGAGTAGCGGGGAGTGAGTAGTGAGTATTGAGTTGCGAGTATGGGAGTAGCGAGTAGTGAGTACTGAGTACTGTGTAGTCAGTATTGTGTAGGGAGTAGGGAGTAGCGAGTAGCGGGTAGTGGGTTGTGAGTAGTGGTTTGCGGGCAATGAGTAGTTAGTAGTGAGTAGTGAGTATTGGATAGTGTTTAGGGGGTAATGAGTAATGGTTTGTGAGTTATGAGCAGGGAGTAGTGAATAATGCTTAGTTAGTAGTGAGTATTGAGTAGTGGGTAGTGAGGAGTGAGTAGTGAGTAGTGAGTAGGGGGGAGGGAGTAGTGAGTAGGGAGTAGTGAGTAGCGAGTACTGGGTGGTGGGTAGTGAGTACTGGGTAGTGAGCAGTGAGTAGTGAGTAGTGAGTAGGGAGGAGGGAGTAGTGAGTAGGGAGTAGTGAGTAGCAAGTAGTGGGTGGTGGGTAGTGAGTAGTGGATAGTGAGTAGTGAGTCGTGAGTAGTGAGTAGGGTGTAGTGAGAAGTGAGTAGCGAATAGCGAGTAGTCAGTAGTGGGTAGTGAGTAATGAGTAGTGAGTACTCTTTGGGGCTGGGGTTAATGGTTGGGGTTCGGATTAGGGGTTTGGGTTAGGGTAAGGACTAGGGGTAGGGGTGGCGGGGGTTGGGTTCCGGAGTCAGGGGGCGGCGTGGCGAAAGGGGGGGAGGGGGAGGGTCGGACCCCTCCCCCTTTTGAAAGGGGGGAGGGGGGGGGGGTCCCCGACGACGGATCGGGGAAAGGGGGAAAACAGGGGCGTTCCTACCCCTCCCCCCTGGGGAGATCCAGCGGCGCACCCTCGGAAAAACCTCCTCGTTGCCTTGTTCGACATCGTCGTCATAATGATGCCATTCGTTATCCTTCCCTCATGTCCTTCCTCTTTCTCATTCTCGCCCTCCCCTGCGAATTCTTCCCCATCCTCCTCCGCTCTTTTTGCGGAGGCTCCTCTTTGGAAAGCTTCTTGGGGGCCTCTGGGTCACGCTTTGGAGTACTTCGGGGGGCGTCTTGGGGCCATCTTGGGCCGTCATTGGGCTCTCTTCGGGCCACCTTGGGTCCCTGCTGGGCTGTTCTGGGGGTCTCTTGGACTGCCTGGAAGGCCTCTTGGGCGGTCTCGGGCGCCTGGAAGACCGAAGAGGAGGGCATTCCCACCACCATGCTACAACCATTGGAAATTCAGGTTTTTTTTCTGCATTCCGAAAGCGTCTTGGGGGCGTTGTTTTGGCTCGTCATCGGGCGTCTGGTTGGTGTTTTGGGGGCTCTTGGGGGCCTTGGGGGGCCGTTCGGCCGCCCACCTGACCGATTTGGGCTCGCGGCCTGGGTCCCGCAGGGGCCCCCGGGAGCTCCCCAAAAGCCCGGGGAACGTTTCGCAAGGCCGTCCAAGGGGGCCCCCGTTGCCAGGGATCTGGGGTTCCCGTTGACGGGGGTCGTCTTCAGGGAATCTGTAGACATAACCCTGCCAGACACTCTGCTTCAGGGGCATCGTGCAGGCTCGCCGCCACCGCCGCCGCCGCCGCCCCGCCGTCGCGGTCGCTTTCGCGGTCGCTTTCGCCGTCGCCGTCGCCGTCGCCGTCGCCGTCGCCGTCGAAATCGCCGTCGTCGTCGTCGTCGTCGTCGTCGTCGTCGTCGTCTTCGTCGTCGTCGTCGTCGTCCAAAGACGTGCAGCGATGTTCGAAGCCCCGCCGCCGCCATTGTCGTCATCCGCCCCCGCGGCGGCGCCTGCCGCAGGACAGGGAGAGCTCGTACTCCGCGACCCCCGGCAGGCAGCAGCCTCAGCCTGGCCAATTGAGGAGGCGCCCTCGCCGTGTCATCGTTGTCGCCGCCGTCGTCGACGCCGTCGTCATCCATCGTCCGTGGCCCGTCGCCCGTCGTTTCTCGTATTGTGTATTTCGTCGGACGCAATTCTCGTCGTCGTCGTCGTCGTGGTCGTCGTCGTCCTGGTCGTGCTCGTCCTCGTCGTCGTCGTCGTCGTCGTCGTCGTCCTCGACTCTTTCGCCACCGCCACCATCCGCCGTCGCCGCCGCCGTCATCGTCGGCGTTGTCGTTCAGAGATGGTTTTTCCTTAGTAGCGTTCCGCCAGAGGTTTCTTGGAAATAATGAAGGATTATGCAAGGATCCCGCAGGGGCAACATTGAGGTTGATAGGCCTCCTACCCTGACACGTCGATTAGCGAATTTTGCCGTTTTCGGTTCGCGAGAGGGCGTCGCGGCCGTCATTTTTGCGGGTCCAGGTCCGTCGGTTTCGGCCCTACGCCGTTTTCACGAAGGGGGGTTTACTAAAGTGAGGTTTGTCCACCGCCGGGATTACACACGAATCCCGCAGGGGGAACAGGGAGCCCAAGTTGATGTGCACCGGCCGCGATTTCACTGCTGTGCTTCTTTTGTGCCAGGCCACCTTCAGGAACCGCTTCATTCGCACGGGTCCAGTACTGCTGCTCCCGGTCGTCACTGTTTCGGTGTTTGGTGTTGTGGTCTCGTCTCTTTGGGCTGGTGGTCTCCTTGTTTTGACGTCGGGTGTTGACGCTTTACCTTGATCTGTTTACTGCCCCTGCCTTCCCTGGTCGTCCCCCCAGCCGCGCCGTGATCCTGGTTCTCCAGCTTCGCAGGCGCGCGCAGGATGCGACGGCTGTTTGTCCCACGCAAGAAGATGCATATCAGGCACGGTATGGTCACGCGCAGGTTGAAACTAACTTTGCGCGACGCCGAACTGGGAGAGACGCAAGTAATGTGCCCACTGGCGTATAGTTTCTTGCTGCGCGCCCCATCGGAGGCAATCCCACGCGTGCGGGGCGCGACCGAGCCCGTGGGCGGAGCGCAGCCCTGCCTGCGCGTCGCTGGGGAAGAACTGCGGCTGCGAATGGCCAGCAGAAGAATGCGCTGTCGGGCACCAAGCTGGTCCGCGGTTGCTGGCGCGCAAAGCACCCAGAAACTGGCCCTGTGCACGTGCTCGGCAAGATTGCAGCGACGCGCTCCCGGGGGCAGAAATTATGCCCGAACGCAGCGCTTGGCAAGGGGCTGCGGTTCCTGCGGAGGATACTGGCCATGTTGTCCGTCTCCGAGGCGCAACTGCATCGGTCTCATGACCTGCGCCGGGGGGCCCACGGGACATGCTCGAAGGTGGCAGTCGCCCGGGGGCGATTCTAAAGGCTGGGCAGTGGCGTCCGCCTGCGTTCCTGCAATGCATTAGTATTCAGGACCTCGAATCCGGCGCCGTGCTGGAGGCGCGATGCGTTCCGCATTTAGGCGGTCCGCAATGCGCTCGTCGCTCGCAGGCGCATTTGGGCGAGTCTCCCAGCAGCGACCCTTCATCCGATTCATAAGTCCTGGCGGTGCATCGAGCCGCAGCACACTGGGGCGTCCTCCGCTTGGGAGGTCAACGCAACGCGGCTTCGCGCCTTGCCTCACCCCTGCAGGCGCACGCAGCGGGGGGTGGTGCGCCTGAGGGGCTGGCGCCGCCCGAGCAACCAGGGCCACGGTCTGGCGTCGGGTTCTTCGCGCCCCTGGCGTCTCGGGCGTCGCTGCGACGCGAGTCGGGGCGACGCTCCGGGCGCCGCGCCCCGTGTCTGGGGGGTGGCGTTCCCCTGGGCCGCGGAGCAGGCCTCGGTATCCCTGTGCCCCCCCGCGGCGCGCGGGGCTGGCATTTGCGATGAGCCCACGAACTCGGGGACAGTGCTCGCGCTGTCGCTGCGTTTGTGGGCTTGCACGAATGCCGCTCCCGCGCGTGCCCTGCCCCCCTGCCTTCTCCTCGTCCTCGGGGCGAGGGGGGGTGGTGGTCGGGGTGCAGGGCCGTGAGTGGGGGAGGGATGTTGGCGCTGCTATGCCTGCGCGGCTGCCGCTTCTGCGCTCCTGCATTCTCGTCCGCGGTCCGCCCGCGTGGCGCCGCTGGCCTGTTGGCCGATGTTTCGAAGCTGGCGGGCGCATGTCCCGCTGCGCTGGGCCGCCGCATCGCGATGCGGGTGGCGCTGGGGCGGCCTCGAGGGGCCGGTCCGCGCGCGCGGTTGCGCGCGCTGCAGGTTCGCCTCTGTGGGGAGGGGGCGCCGCGAGGCCCGTGGCGCGCGCGCTGCCCGTGCGAGGCCGCGTGCTGCGTTTTGCCCCGCCCGCCCGCGCCCTGCGGGTTCTTCGCGCCCCTGGCGTCTCGGGCGTCGCTGCGACGCGCGTCGGGGCGACGCGCGGGGCGCCGCGCCCCGTGTCTGGGGGGCGGCGTTCCCCTGGGCCGCGGAGCGGGCCTCGGTGTGCCTCTGCCCTCCCACGGCGCGCGGGGTTGGCAGCGGTGCGTTCCTCTTCCAAAAATTGATTTTTCTCGGGGCGGGCCGCGGAGTGCCCGGGCGCCCGAGATTGCCCGAGATGGCTCCAAGAGGGAATCCGACGCTTCAGCGCGGCCTCCAAGATGGTTCAAGGTAGCCGACGCTGGTTCAATATGGCTTCCGACGTTCCTCCAAGAGGCCCGACGAGGGCCGCGAGACGGCCCCAGGTGATCTTTCCGTTCCACGCATTGTAGAGATGCAGGCGCGCTCGCACCCGTCGCAAGAGACCAACTTCCCCCCAGAGGGGGCTGGCGCGAGAGGTAGTCGACTTCGCGCCTTACTCGAGAGACCCGAGGCCCCTCAGCGCGGGCCTTCCGAGGAAGGGCCAGAAAGAGTGACTATTGCGAAAAAGAGCAGGGCGCCTTCGCGCCCTGCTCGAGAGACCCGAGGTCCCTCAGCGCCGGCCATCCGAGGAATGGCCAGCAAAGGTCGCATTTTCGACAAAGACGCGGGCGACTTCGCGCCCTGCTCGAGAGGCCCGTGGCCCCTTGAACGCCAGCAAGCCAAGGCCAACCAGCGCAGGTATGTGCCCGTTATGGGGCTCAGCTGGCGCCAAAAAGTTGAAAACTGGCTGCATCACGGGGGCGACGCTGGTCGAGAAGGAGGGGGGGGGGGGGGCCTCGGAACCGCGCTGCGGAGACCAGACATTGCAAGACGAGAGGAATCGACTAATGATGCTTGAAGATTTCGCGCTACCATTACACGGACTATATCTAGATGCAGTCTCCATGCCCGCACTGAAGAGTTCGAGGAAGAATGGCGCGCAGAAGGTCCTCCTCGCATGGTGAGCGCAAGGGCGATCGTTTGAAGCGCGCGCTGCTTGTGCCGCACTGGCCGTCGCGATTGCAACCTGAGAACGGGTCCTGGTCGCGGTTGCGCCGCGATTGCGCGCCAAAGGTGGCGCACATGCATGCTTCGCACTTGTCCCTGAGGATGCCCCCCAAACAGCAACTGTCTCCCTGGGCCCTCCTGGGCCCGCGGCAGCGCAGGACATCGAGAAGGCTGAGGTTCATGTGCTTTGAACCGTAATCGAATGTGCTTGGGGCGTTCGTGGTAATAGTCGTGCCGGGCGGGGGGTCATGCTGTGGCTGACGGCGGAACTGCTTTGCCTCGATAACCCGCTCAAAGCAAATGAACCTCAGCCGTCTCGATGTGCTGTGGGCGTTCGTGGTAATAGTCGTGCCAGACGGGGGGTCATGCTGTGGCTGACGGCGGAACTGCTTTGCCTCGAAGTGCGTCTGCCTCGCGACGGCTGTCATCCTGGCACTGTCATGCAGCAGCCCTGTCGCGCCCTGCTCATCCAAGGCGCGCCCTTGTCCTGCCAGACAGGCGCCCCCCGATTCACTTGCCGACGCCAGCGCGGGCAACAGAGTGGCGAGGCGGAACGCCATGCCCGGGCACGCGAGACATATGTCCTTTTCTGGCTTGCACGAAACGCCTGCATTTCAAATTGCTTGAGCCAACATGTCTTGAGACAAGATGGCTACTGAAGACGGCCCCAGGTGCTCTTGGAGCCGCTTCAGGACCCCCCCCCCCGAAGGAGGCCAATATCCTACGCGGCCGTTCAGACATCCATGCTGTGTATACTTCTCGCCTTTTCGCTTCCGATGTGCTTTTGAGGTTTCAAGATGGCCCCAGGGTAGCCCGAGAGAGGCCCATGAGGGGCCCAGGGTGCCTTCCCAGACGGCCCCCGCAGCGCTCAACAGCGGCCCGAGAGGGCCCCAAGAGGGCCCCAATAGGGCCCCAAGAGGCGAGGTTGCTGGTCCAAGGGGGGGGGGGGGGGGGGGGGGGGGGGGGGGGGGGGGCAAATCGCCCCCGCCCGCCCCCCCCTCCTGGGGGCACTCGAGGGGCCCCCGAGGAACCCCCGAGAGGACCCCGAGATTCCATTTTAAAGTGCGAAGAGGGCCCCAAGAGGCGATTTGAGGGTTCCGAGCCGCGGCCGACCCCGCTGCGCCGCCTTTGCCCGATGCTCGCTGGCAGCACTGGCGGCCTTCATTTTAGCCGCGCGGTCGCCGCCGATAGGGCTGACCACGACGGGGGCTCCCAGAAAGGGACCGTCGAGCACGGGTGGCGCGCGCGCAGCGCCGAGCAACGCTAGCAAGTCATATTCCTCGCGGGAAGGGAGATCCGCGATGTTGAGTTTGGAGGGGCTCTGTCTACCCGCAGGGCGATCTGCTGCTGGGCTGCCTTGGGCCGCGGGCAGTTTACCAGGCAGGAGTAGTCCCATGCTTTGGGCGACCCCCTGCTGGTCGCGGCCTCGGCGCCTGCGCTGTCGCCCCGCGCCCTGACCATGCGGCGCCGCAAGAAATGGTCGAAAGTGCAGAGCCCGAGCGCAATTGCGAGCAGCTCCAGGGACATGATCATCCCGTCCGCCCGCTGCTTAAAGCAGCTCATCAAGCTGCCGGGCGGCTCCCAGTAGATCTGTTCATCATGCATGAGCGCCGCCGCCGCTCTCGGCGGAGTGCTCCTTGCATCCGCAAATAATTGGAC